ATCATATCTAAATGGGCATAAAACATTGAAGAATATTTGTAACATTAACCGCTAAAACTCTAGCAGTCATTAATGAAATATTGTTGTCTGTCGGAGGCAATAGTAATGAAAGTTGATGGATGTAAAGAAAAAAAAGGTATCGTTACTTTTTATATTCAAAGATATACCACACCGTTCTTACTCATTCCTGTATACAATAAAATCCAAAAGGTAATGTGTTTAGTTAATAGGTTTTCATGCTTCGATCAGGTAAATTCCATTCTTAGAAGAGGTCAATAATGGAGAAAGAATTCCATGATAACAACAGTGTAGGGGCGCTTGTGTTTTGACACTAATTTGTGAGGTATTAGAGAGTATTCATCCCATTTTGGCACTCTTCAGGCGCTACATATATTTATGCAGTTCAATATTGTTTTTCGTTCAGTGATAATTATCACAATTATCATCGTTACCTTCTATATAATAATTCATTTGATTCTATTTGGGTTTAAAACAGATTTGTTAGAAATTGATATTTATTTTTCGTTGAGCAACATTTTTACATTATATTTATATGAGAAGATAAAACAGCAAAGACAAACTATTCAATTCCATTAATTTTGCTTTGAAATTCATCGTTAGTCAATATCCGCTTAAACAATCACACAAGAAGAAATTAACCAAAGAAATAAGACACATGAAGCTTATTATAATTAAGACAACTGTACATTGTAAGGGGTGGGGTAGGGACTTCGCTTGACTTAGGTCATAATGACACGTATCCCGAGCCACAATAGACAGGTCTGTATTCAGAAATAAAATGCACTGCATGAATTAACCAGAAAAAAAAAAAGAAAAAAAGAAAAAAAAAAAGCATTCGTTGAGAGCTAGCATTTCACTTACCTGGTTCTGTTCTTGTTATCAGCTCACGAATTCTGATTACCCCCCCCCCCTACCAAGCAACGTTGCAATGTTACCGACTTATAAGGCGCATTTTGCAAGTCTCAATGCATCATTATTGAGGGAGTGCTCAGAAAGAATGAAGAAACGGTATGCAAGGGAGAAAGGCAGAAAACAAAGAACGAAAGTAGACTGCATGAATTAAACATGGAAAACTACAACACGTTATTATAACTTCCGCGAATGTTGTTTGCGGTATAGCAGCAACGTTGCAGTGTTATTTAATTGCAAAATTACGTTAGATGGGCCTACATTATTTATTGTTCTACAAGAGACGTTTCATACATCAAATTGTAACCTAAAGCTCCGTATACACTATAAAATGTTATATGACAAATAAATGTGATAGGCCCATGCCGATAATCATGTCCGTACATGGATACATGACACAAATTTGTCGCGTAAAATTTGAGTTCGGACAAAGCCTTAAAATATTAGCTGGGAACAAAGCCTAAAATAATCAAGTCCATACATGGATTTGTGACGTAAAATGTGGTATTGTGGAAAGAGCCTTAAAATATTAGCTGGGAACAAAGCCTTAAATAATCAAGTCCATACATGATTTTTTTTTGTCCCGTAAAATGTGGTAGTGTAGACAGAGCTTTAAAATGTTAGCTGGGATATTTTAACTGATATATTTTAACTAGGAGCAAAGCATGGATTTGTCACGTAAAATGTGGTATTGTAGACAAAGCCTTAAAATATTAGCTGGGAACAAAGCCTTAAATAATCATGTCCATACATGTATTTGTCACGTAAAATGTGGTAGTGTAGACAGAGCCTTAAAATATTAGCTGGAATATTTTTGCTGGTAATTCCCTGCACCAGACCTCACGCTTTCGGTGACTTTGTATGTTAGTTTTTTTCAGTAACAAAAGTAAAAGATTGTCTCTTGATGTACAGCCCATCTAAAACACTGTGACTTTAGACGATCATCTACTTTCATTTATAGCAAAGATTAATATCAAAATCTGTAAAGATAAAAACTAGATTTAGCGTGTAAAAAATATTTTGCTTAGTATTAACTTTTAACATAAAATTCAGTTATCCAATTCAATTATATTATACATTAATTAAATTAAATTGCACAGTTTCGTTACACAGTTGAATTCAATACATATCTATTTAAATAAGTTGATTTATAAAGTAAATAAAAAACTAAAATATCAATTATTATTAAAGCATATACACCATAAATTATTTAACATACCTTAGAAATCATTACTATTGTTAACACTTACTTACTTTGGCAATAAAAGAAAGATATGATTAGAAGTACATTGTTTATTAGTTCGCGTTGGGCCTCATAAATGCAGTGTGACATGCTAAGATATACAATCGAAAGAGTCCTGCGTAACACTAACAGACGAAATGTTTTACTGTAATCGTATTAGTAATATTCTGACACTAATATATTTTTTGCCCCAATATGTCCAAAATCTGTTAAAAAAACAAATGGCAAGAAAAGAAATAAGCATCTGAAGAAATTTTAAAACTACCAAAGCTTGACACTTGTTGTGTACATTCGCAGAATAGACATGCATCAAAAATTGGATCATAAGAAAGAAATCATTGGTAGAGTTCCTAGTCCACATATCAAGCGCCCTCATGAGCATCTTATGTCAGATGGATTTGGCACTATATAAAAGTATACTACTATATTATTATTATTATTATTATTATTATTATTATTATTATTATTATTATTATTAGTACTGAGCATTTATTACTAAGCTAACACGTCAGGTAGGGCAAAGGTCGATTTTTCGATTGACTAGCACTATTGTAACCACGTCACAGACCCTTTATACGATATGGGTGTGTGTTAAAAGAGGAGGTTACAGTCAGGATGAATCAAAGCGGAACCATCAAGGGTATGGTAATATTATGAACACAATAAATACAAATAACTGCAGTACACGCTTCCCCATATGCATAATAATACAGAAATATAGATCCGCCATTACTGAAACGTTTGTTTTATTTCCTAGAATTTCTCAAAAAGCCACGAAGCACATATCGTCTAGACTCGGGTAGTTCATATAACAAGGTACGTGGTTTTGTTAAAAAATATTTTTGCATATTACCATAATTAATATTTACTAGAATATAGCTTAGTGATATTGTACATATTCTAAAAATTTGTATTATGTCTAATAATAATTGAAAAGAGTAACGGGGCTAGGGCCTAATGTAGAATAGCACTATGCGGCAGACGACCGTACCTGAACATTTATTGAAACCCATAGTATGTAGACACGAATTGGAAGTTCTATTCTATTTCTATTTTGTTACGCGAATTATGAGTCAGTGCACGATAGTTATAAACCTTGAATTTATGGTGTGTAAGTTTGATGTACCGTATACACTTCCTGTACAAAAACAAGTGAGACTCGATTCGCTCCACTAGCTCCCCCCCCCCCCACCATCGTCGGGGCCTTTAGCCCCTCCGTTGGGCGAGTCCTGGGGCCATCACTTGTTGCTACCCATCAGCACTGAATTCTATGAGACAATTGCTCGTGCATAACAGTACTAAAAATAATATGCTAATAGGCCCTATTATAAATGTGCTGTAGACGGGCCATCCCGATTTCTTTGAGACTCCCGTATTACCATAACAATATATTTACCCTTCCAAGAAAATGTAATATAGTTTATAAATATGTAAAGGTCTATTTATATAGAGCATAATTTCACTTAACAAGATTGTTATATTCATTATTAATGTTGTGTAAGGGGCAAGTGTTATGTTTAGCACGTGATTTTCAATATATATCATAAGCACAAAACATGCATTTACACAGACATATAAATGTTATTTGGCTTATAAATGTACGATGGTTTGTATGTACATGGGACTAATGACTAATGCTCCACCTGAATTACGAGGTTTGGAGAAGGAAGTTTATTTATTGTTAAAAGACTGACTTGCATGAACTCAATGTATGATAGTCAGGAATCGAAGCGGGACCATCAAGGGTATGTCAATATGAACACAATGAAATGAAAATAGCTGCTAGCACACCCTTCTTTATACATTATAAATTACTGCTATCAGGAAATAGATCCGCCATTGTTGGAAACGTTTGTTCTATTTTCTAAAATTTTCCAAAACGCCACGTTAATATGAACACAATAAATACAAATAATTGCAAGCGCACACTTTTCTATTCATATATGCAGAAGTAGATCCGACACTGTTGAAACGTTTGTTCTGTTCTCTAGAATTTTTCAAAACGCCATGAAGCACATTATCATCTAGAATCTAGATTTCGGCCTGGTAAACTTATTGGTTCATATAACAAAGTCATGATTTTATTTGAAAAAAATTCTTATTACCATAAATTACATTTACTAGATTTAGTAAATAATTTACATCATATTCCTAAAATTGGTATGTGTCTGTGTCTAATTAGCAAAGAGACTAAGAGTAACGGGTTATTGCCTAATGATTGTGAGAATATTTTGTGGCAGTTGTTCAACGAAACACATAGTACCACGAATTGGCAGTTCGTTTTTATTTTGTTACGTGAATTATGATTCTGTGCGCTTAAGACAGTTAAATCATGGAGAAAATAAAATATTTTATTTTCTCCATGGTTAAATGATCTTGAATTTAAGGTGTGTAAACTTGATATACACTTCCTGTAGGCCTACGACAGGTGTCCCAAGTTGGAAATTCCTGGAGATCTGTTTAAGTGAGCTTTTTAAACACATTTAGTTGTATTTTTTCACATGTGCATATTGACACCCATCATCACCCATCACCCAATTCCGTGAGACAATTGATCCTACAGTAATACTAAACATAATGCAAATATTGTGAATGTGCTGGAGACGTGGTTATTTTCCAGGAGGATTTTGCTTGGTTGTGAGAGTGCGGGATGCCATCCTGATTACCATGAGACACCCCCGACTTTTTTTATTACTTTAAACAATCCTTCCCTGTCTTGAGAAAATGAAGAATTCATATTTGATATTTTGAACGAGTCGCTCGCTTTTTGATTGGTTTTATAACGTGCGCAATAAGGCACTTCCTGCGTTCCATAACCACCAGCACGCTGATAAGGAACCAGGAAGAACATGTTCCTTTTCAGCCCGTGTTGCGCTATGTTGTTTTGCCAACAATATGCAATATTTACGTGTCACAGATTTCATCATATGTACAGTTATTTATTTTCATCGTAGCCTAGCCCCAGGTAGGTAGGTAGATGTATTTCTGTAGGCCTAGACCGGAGACCCCTCCTTAAAAATAATAAATTTAGGCTAGGCCTAGGGTAGGGGTCCTAGAGAAGTATAAGGGTAGCCTACCCTAGCGTGAGCCTAGGTGAGGTAGGCTATGCGAGGCCTACTTACGTAGGGCCTAGGCTGATAGTTAGGTAAGAGGGCGCTAAATGCACATTTAGTACTCCACCCTAACCTTAACCGCAACTCCAGTCTTGATATGTTCAGGTTAAGGTTAGGCCCTTGGCTAGGGGCGGAGTACTAGGATCAAGTGCGATCCATGGACCCTGTGTAAGTAGCTCAGGTCCAATATACAGTAGTAAGGACCTCTAATAGAATATTCCATTTTCTGCACAGGTTATCTAGTTATCCAAATAATTTCCAACCTGATCGTCGTGCTATGCGATCGTGAGAGGATGTAAACAACGATTTAACAACCGTATTGTGGATGTTCGTGGCTTATGATGGTATTTCAATAATATCTTTAATACTAATAAAAATAATTGTTTATAAACTAATGTTACAGTAATTTAAATAACGAGTTGACTGGTTTTTTCCTGATAAAAAGTTTGATTTTTAAAGATAATATATCAAAAAAACAATACCGTACTATAGAGAAATACCAAATTTTTAGTATTCATTATATTTTCTGTATTTGTTATGTAGTAGGAAGTGTAGGATCGATAACAAAACGAAAATAAACACTCTCCAATAAAAGAGTACGCGGAATGCAAAAAACTAGAAAATAACCCATAAATACCATAATATTAATTGAAATTTAGTTTAGTAATAATAGTATTCATTTTATTTGCTTTTAAGTAGCCTATGTCGTTAGTAGAAAGACAACGAAACATAAATAAAAAAGTAGGATAAACCGATTGACGAACTTAAATGATAATTAGGCCTGGTTATATTACATTTAGCGTTTTCGCAACTCCATTGGCGCTCCATATATTTGTTGAAAACAAACTGGGACCGAAATGAGGCACGACCGAAACGAAGCGCGACCTAAATGATCTGTATTCAGGCTAAGCAGGCTACCTGCCTGGGGCGGCTATTTGGCTATTGACCACCAACCAGCACTGCATGCCTTACATAGATTTTGCCTACCTAGGCCTACCCTAGGCCTAACTAACAGAAACGACAAACGTCACTCAATTTATTGAAGTACACTTTTTTTCACTGTGACTAGTATAATACCGTATTTCTGTCGTGCACAATTTGAGACATTTGCAAAATTTACAAAATGCGCAACCTATCACTGCAAGGATTTCTTTGCACAATTTGAAAACTGTTCAAAATTGTGCACAGTTTGCAAACTTTGCAAGGAGATTGTTGCACAGTTTTAAAATGTACAGTCAATTTGCAGACTGTGCAAGGGCAGCTCATGCACATTTTAATCTATTTGCACATTTTGATACTGATTACTGTAGGCCTAATTTTGTTTTCTGTTTATTGTTGGTGTGACATGAAATAAAAACGTTGGCACATGTAAGCCGGGTATCATGCATGGCTATCGTGTGTGGTTGGGTGGGAAAAGATGGTGTGCTATTGAGGTGAAATCAAGATACCAAGAAAGGCATGAATCCTCAGGACGTAGGCCCATGGGCCTTGCTTAGCTTTTTCGCTTAATAAGAGTTGACATACTACTCAGTCTTTGGTCTAATCTATTTACATGACACACTTGCACTAAAAAACTAGATATACTGTTAACTGTAAATAAGAGAATTCATTTAACTGTAGACCTACTAGCATTTTATATACCATAATACTGTTTTAAGTGGGCCTACATCAAAAGTATATTCGAAAAATTTGACACTACTAGTTACGATCGATTAGGGAAACTCATTCTCTTGATCTGCCCGAACGATGTGTATGAATATTTCGGTTGATTTGAAAAGCGTGGTAATTCTGAGTTTATAACCTAGGCTGAAACTTAGGATGAGATTTTGAGATTGAGATCTTCAGACTTGATATGACCATGGAGGAATTAGTTTATGACTGATATATGCCACCCAGATCGATCTGTCACTACAGAATTTAAACAAAGGCTAGAGGCTATTCCAAGAGTTTGGTACAGGATTCAGTCCTTGTTTGATAATTGCTATAGATAAATGACATGAATACTGAGTGGAACCATACGCCATATTTATCGATGACAGGAATAAATACAGCAGTGTACTTTTTGATGTTCTGCTTACCCAGCACATCGTTTGCGCACCACTCATCGTGGGTGATCTGCAATGCCAGTCTTGAAAGACGATGTCACGCACATTCTGGCACTTCATTGGGTGATGGTGACGTAGTGCCATTTACCGTACCTTTAGCAAATTGAATAAAAAATACGGTACCTTATTTCTAGCCACACCATGTTTTTTTTTTTATATAAGAACCAGTAAAATGTTTTCAGACTCAAAATGTTCTTATTTTGTTTTTGTTTTTAAACACTTTTCAAGCATAGAAAATTATTGTTGTACATCAGTATATTACTGTACTGTTATGTAGATGGCATAACATAATATAGTCACACCTACTGCAAATATGGTACAATAAGATTTGTTGGTTTTTTATTTTTTTTTCAACTAAAACCCTAATCTGAAATTTCAATTTGTTCTTATGTTGTTCTTAATTTTTAGGCAATTTCAGCCTCGCTGTTCTACAAAATGTGTCCTTATGAAAAAAAGAAGTGTAGCGTTGTCGGCTAGTGGGAAAATGTGTCCTTATGAAAAAAAGAAGTGTAGCGTTGTTGGCTAGTGGGCCTGGCTGTCAGTTGTTGTTTCAAAATCATTTAAAAAACATGTACGAATACTGCGCAGGGTTCAGATTGTGTATTGTTGACATTAACTTATACTGTATTATTAGAATTTGATCCCACTGAGTTAGGGGGGTGTGGGGGGAGACACTATAGTGATGTTTTAAGTCATCAGAAAATTAGCAATGATAAAAGAAAGGGCATTTGTGTGGTATGCTGTCTGTAGCTTCCATGGAAAAGATAGCAATTATTAAGGGTTCCAACAATTTAAAAACTAATGTTACTAATTGAATTGGTCTTTATTAGTAAATTAACAGGTTAAATAATCAGGCCAGGCCTGCCTCGGTATACAGGTTCTAGTCTAATGCGTTGCTGGGCTATTTTAAGTCCTAACCTTCTACCCAGCCTCATGGCCTACAGTTATATTGAATATTGATTGCAGGCTGGAAATTAAGGGTTATTTGGTCCTGATTGTTTTAAAGAGTGACAAGGAATTTACTTGGTCACGCTCACTGTGACTGTGCTCACTGTGTCGTTTCTTTTCATAAGCGCCAGAAAGGTTTCCAACCAAATCGCAATTGTTTGCAACTTGTGCAGCCCTATAATTTTCAGTCAGGCAGTATGCAAAACAATCTATCATTCATTCTATGATATCAACCAATCAGCACGAGCTACTGTTAAAGTGTGACGTCGTACCCTAAAGCTGTGTCTCTTTAGGTCAAGAACTGATGTGCACTCATCTCATATTCTTGGTAAATAAGCATTCTCCGTCAAATCGAACAAGACTGGTATTAAAATATCGACTTGAACAAATTTTAACTTTTCCTTAACTTATTTGTTTATAAAATAGAATACTGATATTTCAAACGAGCGTCGTTTGACTTCTTATAGTTTTACGATGGACCAGTAGCAAGCAATAAAAAAAATTTAACACAAAATACATCGTAAGTAAACGCATGTAGACATCATCTGGATTGACTGAATATTATACTGTATTACGCTCCTTCAAACATGTGGTTGATGATAATTTCAGCCAGACTTTATGGGGCAGCTGTGGTTTAACAACATGTGTCTCCATGAGCAACATCTTCAAATTTACAAAAAAACAAAAAAGAAAAAAAAACAAAAAAAAAACAAAAAAAAAACATTGACCTTTTCAGCAATTTTAAATAAAGTAATATAGAAAACAATGGCTTTACTGAAAATATTTTGGGCGAAAATTCCTTTACCATCATTCATTTACTGAAGAAGCCAACCTGCTTCTTCTGACCTACTTTGTGCCTGGTAACCATTTTGTCTGTGTCTACCGTGAGGAGCGTGGAATTGGGAACATCTCTTACTGAATTTTGTAGACGACAAGCATAGTTGTTACTAGGCAACTGGTAATGGGCCTATATCAAACGATTTATTTCCTTCTTTAAGGTTCAGCAGAAAAAGAAAATAAAATGATTTTCTAATTGTGTTTTTAAATTACAAATTTAATTGATTATAAATAAATATTTAAGAATTTGTTATTGAACTTGGAATTAACAAAGTGCAGCATTTGAATTAATTGATAATTTTAATCTAAAAAAATTTTGTACAAGAAATGTTTCTTTTTTGACAAAAAAAAGAACCCCAACAAAAACGACATTAATTAAACCAAACTCTTTGCTTCACACATTATTTGGTTAGATTTGAAGCAGTACTTAGGTGCTACTCGCCTCGTGGCTGACTGCCCCTTTGCTGGGCACACACATGGTTTAGGATTACTCCGCAAAACCTTATTTGTAAACACCACAACTTGTGACGATGCTCTCTGACGATATTAATAGTTTTGTAGTTTGAAGGTGTACTACCAGTTAGTTTTCTTTCTCAATAATTCTCAAAAAAAAACAACTGTTGAACAAGAAAATGTAACTATCATTAAAAGTGTAGAAGATAGGCGCCATAAGGACACTCTGAAGTTAGTTGTACAGGTGCAGGCCCAATGTTCAAATTGTAGCGTAAGCAGTGTCACCGACTGTGCGTGATGCCAATTTTTCAGGCTTAAAAAGAAGCCTAAACGACCTTTGACAGAAGAAACGGAACAACAAAAACAATCAACAAAAAGAAAAACAAGAAGATGAATGAGAAAAGATAGTTTTAAGTCTGGCCTTAAATAGGGAAGTGGAAGAACTGTCTCTTATACACATCTAGATTCAGGCCAGGCCTGCCTCGGTATACAGGTTCTAGTCTAATGCGTTGCTGGGCTATTTAAGTCCTAACCTTCTACCCAGCCTCATGGCCTACAGTTATATTGAATATTGATTGCAGGCTGAAAATTCAGGGTTATTTGGTCCTGATTTTTTTTAATTGTGACAAGGAATTCATTTGGTCGCGCTCAGTGTGAAAAGATCATTCGTTTTTATAAGCACTATAAAGGTTTTTAACCAAATCACAAATGATTACATCTGGTGCAGCCACATAATTTTAGGCAGTATGCAAAACAATGTATCATTCATTCTGTGATATCAACCAATCAGCAGGAGCTTTAAGTCAACAACTGATGTTCACTCATCTCGTATTCTTGGTAAATAAGCGATCTCCGTCAAATCGAACAAGACTGGTATTATAATATCGGCTTGAACAAATTTTCCTTAATTTGTTTGTTTCGTAAAATAGAATGCTGATATTTCAAACGATTGTCTTTTGACTTCTTATAGTTATACGATGGACCAGTAGCATCATCTGGATTAACTGAAAATTATATTGCGCTCCTTCAAACACGTGGTTGATGATACAGTAATTTCATCCAGACTTTATGGGGCAGCTGTGGTTTAACACATGTGTCTCCATGAGCAACATCTTCAAATTTACAAAAAACAAAAAAGAAAACAAAAAAAAAAAAACAAAAAAAAAAAACATAGACCTTTTTAGCAATTGAGAAACATAATTAAATAAAGTAATATAGAAAACAATAGCTTTACTGAAAATATTTTGGGCGAAAATTCCTTTACCACCATTCATTTACTGAAGAAGCCAGCCTGCTTCTTCTGACCTACTTTTGTTTGTACCGGCGGCATACAAAGAGTCAAATGACTTTGTGCCTGGTAACCATTTTGTCTGTGTCTACCGTGAGGAGCGTGGAATTGGGAACATCTCTTACTGAATTTTGTAGACGACAAGCATAGTTGTTACTAGGCAACTGGTAATGGGCCTATATCAAACGATTTATTCCTTCTTTAAGGTTCAGCAGAAAAAGCAAATAAAATGATTTTCTAATTGTGTTTTTAAATTACAAATTTAATTGATTATAAATAAATATTTAAGAATTTGTTATTGAACTTGGAATTAACAAAGTGCAGCATTTGAATTAATTGATAATTTTAATCTAAACAAATATTGTACAAGAAATGTTTCTTTTTTGACAAAAAAAACCCCAACAAATACGACATTAATTAAACCAAACTCTTTGCTTCACACATTATTTGGTTAGATTTCAAGCAGTACTTAGGTGCTACTCGCCTCGTGGCTGACTGCCCCTTTGCTGGGCACACACATGGTTTAGGATTACTCTGCAAAACCTTATTTGTAAACACCACAACTTGTAACGATGCTCTCTGACGATATTAATAGTTTTGTAGTTTGAAGGTGTACTACCAGTTAGTTTTCTTAATGATTCTAAAAAAAAAAAGCAACTGTTGAACAAGAAAATGTAACTATCATTAAAAGTGTAGAAGATAGGCGCCATAAGGACACTCTGAAGTTAGTTGTACAGGTGCAGGCCCAATGTTCAAATTGTAGCGTAAGCAGTGTCACTGACTGTGCGTGATGCCAATTTTTCAGGCTTAAAAAGAAGCCTAAACGACCTTTGACAGAAGAAACGGAACAAAAAAACAATCAACAGAAAGAAAAACAAGAAGATGAATGAGAAAAGATAGTTTTGAGTCTGGCCTTAAATAGGGAAGTGGAAGAAAGTGAGGCGAGTGAGGGGTGGGGGAAATTCGCCCGACTAGGGGTCAGACTTCCCAGATGAAAGAAAAGTGGCCGTGGTCAGGCTTCGATGAAAAAATTAAGAAAATAGTCCGGGGGCCCATTCCCCGAAAATTTTGACAATTTAGGTGATTCAAAGGCTTATTTAATCGATTTTAGAGTCTACTAATTAGTAGAAAATACATATATATTTTGGTTTTTGTCAGCATGTATCTCACTAACTTAGTGAGTTACGCCTAGAATTGTTGTTTATCTTTCATACTCATAGGTTCCAAACATGTCCAAAAAAGTTGAACAAAAGCTAATTGAAGTAAATACATGGTTGGCTTGAAAGAGAATTCCCCAACTGATTGTCTCGTACAGTTGAACTTGCCTACAGATTGTTAATTCATACATGCCAACATTTTGATAGTAAATAACGGGAGAATCACCAAACTTTGGCCTGTAAAAGGGGGAGGGGTCAGGAGGGTTTTCCCCATTACATGGGGTCCAGATTTAGCTATTTAATGTAATATAAGGATAAATCTCATGATTTTTATTATGTGTGTTTCAATAATAAAATTATTGATTTTAACTTGTATGTTTGATAGAATCATATAATTGTCTTGTGTATCTAGGCCTATGTCTATATGGATCAATTTCTCATTTGCTGGCCTTTTCAGTACAAGATACAAAATCTAGATTCAGTCCTTGTCATAAAATGCTTTTTCAATGGGCTTAAATTAATAGAGATAATTACTGGGCCGGTATTTTAGCAATTGTAACTTCAGCTAATTAGTCAGCGTAAGGTCGGGTCCAGCTACGTCACTATTCTTTACAAGTACTCTTGTCATTATTATTGACCTTCATTTTAAAAACGATTTCAGAGGCGATGCTCTTGCTAGTTTTCTATCACCAAGCAAATTATTGGAAGATAACGTAAATATTGATATATTTTATTGCAAAAAAAAAAAAAATAGAAAATATTAAAATATAAGGAGGCCTATGCAGTTTTCTTTGTAAAGCATGTGAGAAAAAAATTGGCCGGGAGTCAGGTCAACAAAACAGGAGTGTTGTCATGTATGTTAATTAATGGAAAACTCAACAATTTGTCATAAGTTTGGCCTAGAAATTATTCGAGTCATGCAAAGTTGACTTAGGCAAGTTTAACTGTATTCTTACTTTCTAAGCTGCAAATAACAGTCTGAGCCTGTAGGCTTATTGTAACTTTTCTCAATCCTTGTAGATTGATCCGTTGTAAAAATGAGTGACAGTATGGAAGGAGACACATCAGAAGGTGAGTTAACTTTAATTATTTGTGGGTATATCCAGTAAATCTTTTCAACAAAAAGTGTTCAGTAAGAAGTAATTAAATTTGAAAATTAATTGTTATGAAAAACATTTAATTATTATTGTATTTTAATTGTTATAATTATCAATTAATTTTAATCCAATCCAAAAAAGGAAAAGGTTCATACCAATTCAGAAAGGTTGAAATTCAGTAGGGGATATGTATAGGACCATCATTATTTCCATACCAATTACAGCAATAATAATAGTATAATAATAGTAGTAATAATAATAATAGTGGAACACTTTAATATTTACAATCACACATTGTTGTCTACTCTAACGCACAAATGGAATCACAAGCCTGGTACAAAAGTATAATGCAATAAAATATATTAACTGTATTTCTCTAATGTGTGTTTGATTGAAAATCTACATTGAATAATGAATATAGGATTAATAAATAATGGTTGTTCTAGGCTATGTTAAATTTGGCAAGATTTTCACAATTTCTTAAACAGATGATGAAGAACTGGAAAATTTAACCAGCAAGAGAAAGGTGAAACAGAAAGGACCTACTAACAAAATTAAGAGGACAAAGATAATTGAGCAATCAAGCCCAGGTATGTACTGGTAGAGTATTTTATATTTTGTAGCAGAACTTTATAATGTCATTTACTCAACAATGTATGTTTGTGGGTTTGATTTTTTTTCATTTAACATAAATGAATGCTGTAAATTGGTGTTTTTTTATTCTGATGAATTGAACTCCACTTTACTTAAAAACATTTTAAAGTTTCTAGAAATAAAGTAAAAAATAAATTGTTATTCTATGCCTTTACCTTAGGCATAAAAAAAATGAGCCAGAAAAACAATAAGTAAAATAAACAAGTTAAAAGAACAAAGTAAATTGAGCAATAAAACCAATGTTGTATGTGTTGTATTTTGTAGCATAACCTTACAGTAGGTCATTACTCAACAATACATGTTAGTCTGGATGGTAATTCTATGATTCATACATTATTTTTCCATTTAAATGATGTTATATTGTAAGCCCCTTTTCAATAATAGAAATACTTTGTACAGTATGTATTAATGGTTTAATATTCAAAGTCAATTGAGCAATCAAACTAAGGTATGTATTATAACTATGCAATTTTTAAATAACACAGAAGAAACATTACTACGGATAATGAGTGGGAGGCCATGAATCAACATTTTGACCTTTATTGGGTGTATTTTCAAGAATGACCCAATAAAGGTCAAAATGTTAAATCATGGTCTCCCTCTCATTATTCGGAGTAACTTTCTTTTTATGTTATTTAAACATAATCAATATATCTGGTTTTACAATTTAAGTTAGTAATAAACAATGCATGTTTTGGGGTAACTGGGGTCCTATGAATTTTATGTTTATTTAAAATTAACTGTTTCTTTACATTTTTTTCATTTAAGAATTATAATTATGATTTTATGTTAGAACAAATAATGTATATTTTCATTGGGTTTTTTTTAGGCACATGTGCCAATGATTGGCAATAGTGAATATATCACTGTGGCAATCCATTCCACAAGACAAACATTTAACACAAGATTAAAATAAACTAGGTTTCTTTATGAAGTTTAGGGAGTGGAGTTATTTTAATGTTCACCATAAGAAATATCCTGGTGATTTTTTTTTTGTCCGTTTTCTTCTGTTATTGTTAAGCGCCTCAAGGTTGGTCCAACGGGAGGCGCTATACAAATCACAAATTATTATTATTATTATTATTATTATTATTATTATTATTATTATTTTGACCCATGACCCTGGAATTGGAAGGTAAGTATCTTAATGACCAAGGTACACCTTGACTTGCATTCAGCATGTTCAGAGGTCTAAGATCTTGTGCGAGTCGCAAGAGACTCATAGAAATCCGCATGAGGTTCCATCCTCCTTTACCAAAATTTGCCTCTTGCAACCAGGGGGCAGTGTCTTTGAGCTAATTACAAGCTCCACAGGATATCAGATAAGTGTTAAGTAATTAGATAAACAGAATCAATTTTCTCAGGCAGACAGTAAACTGGAACTACTTTCACCATACTCCATGCTAATAATGTATATTTTCATTGGGTTTTTTTTAGGCACATGTGCCAATGGTTGGCAATAGTGAATATATCACTGTGGCAATCCATTCCACAAGACAAACATTTAACACAAGATTAAAATAAACTAGGTTTCTTTATAAAGTTTAGGGAGTGGAGTTATTTTAATGTTCACCATAAGAAAATATCCTGGTGATTTTTTTTTTGTCCGTTTTCTTCTGTTATTGTTAAGCGCCTCAAGGTTGGTCCAACTGGAGGCGCTATACAAATCACAAATTATTATTATTATTATTATTATTATTTTGACCCATGACCCTGGAATTGGAAGGTAAGTATCTTAATGACCAAGGTACACCTTGACTTGCATTCAGCATGTTCAGAGGTCTAAGATCTTGTGCGAGTCGCAAGAGACTCATAGAAATCCGGCAGACCTTGCATGAGCAAGCAAGAATGTCACAGAAAATAACCCATCTCCCACAATTCATGATATAATTATGCATTTTACTATGTTTTATCAATTGTCTCACACTGGATAAAGAATGGCCTCATTCAGATTTAGAATCGGAGTATATCCCTGCCTTGAATCCGCTATAGTGAAGTATTAACATAGTATTTATTACTACTTTACTTCCAGAAATCTCTGAGGATGAATACCGTGAGCTGTTGCAGGATATATCAGAATGGTTTGATGGAAATAGCTGTATCAGTATGCTGAAAGTATTGTACAGAGATCATGTGACTAATGCTAATACACTGCATAATGCTACTAAAATGCGTGACTTGCTGGACAACTTGCATGACTCTGGGAATCTGAGTCCAACTGATCTTAGTATTCTGTATGACACCATAAATGTAACAAAAAAATTTGGTTTCAAACCAAAGAATAAGAACCTGCTTTCATTATTTCAAAATGTTAGACGTTTTGAAATATCAAAATTTACATCGCACAGGCAAAAGCTTGTAAAATTAGGAATGGCATTGATTCAAGATGATGTATCAACTCTTGATGGTTCATTTAACATCCCACAAAAGAAATATGAAGACAGTTGGCATTTGATAAATGATCTGGAGCACAAAACAGTAATTTGTGAAGAAAAAATGGAGCCATTTGTTGAAAAGTTGCGTAAAGCCCAACTCCATTCAGCCGTGAAAGCTCTTACTGAAGGTAAGATAAATGAGGCATGTTGTGGTGAAATGGTAAAGTTGTCACACAGTCCAGTATTGATTAAATGAGCTATAAAATATGGGAGCTCAAAAAATTGCTAAAAAATCCAAATTTGTTTTTCACTATAGGTCAACAGTTAAATGTCTTATTAATCATGTCTCGAAGTATTAGTTCTGGAAGTGGTTAACAAATTGTTTATTTAACGTTATTTTTTATAGTTCATTCTATTAAACAATGTATGCACAAATAACTTTGAAAGGCAATTACTCAAAATCCTGTTTATCTTGACTCTAAGAGTACTGTACTTTCAC